AATGGACTCTGTAAGTGAGCGTGTAAGGGTCCTCTAATAAGGGCTCTTTTTGGGTTCTGTAAGGTAGTTCTCTAAATCAGGGCACCTTTTCAGGTCCCAATATATTACGGCACCCTTATAAAAAGGACCCCCCCCAAAAGGGACCCTGTTTTATAAAACTACCCATAGTGCTGGAAGGTTTCCATAAGGGATCTAATGGGGCTTTTTGGGGGGCGTTCTACTTGATCTAATAAGGGCTCTATTGGTCTAAACGGGGTTCCTATAAGGGTGCTTACTATGCTATAGGGGTTCCCAAAAGGGTTCCTCTAAGGGCTCTACTGAGGCTACTATAGGGGTTGTAGCAGGGCAAACCGGAGCGGGCTCCAAGGTTTAAGGGTGTAATGTAGGGTTTAGGGTTTAGGGTTTAGGGTTTAAGGGTGTAATGTAGGGGCCTTAGTAATTAGAAGAGGGTTTGAGGGCACATTATACCATAGTTCTGATAAGGAGCCCCCCAAAATAATGTAGGTAACTTGGGCCCCTACATTAGGGTTCAAGGTTTTGGGAGGCTGCTGCTCAAAGGGTGAAAGGTGTAAAGGGTTGGCGAAAAAAGCGGGTAAATATTTACCCTAAACCCTAAATCCTAAACCCTAAACTCTAAATCCTAAACCCTAAACCCTGAACCCTAAATCCTAAACCCTAAAACCTAAACCCTTATCGGACCCTTAAAAGGAGCCTTTTCAGGAAGCCTGCAGAGCCCGCAAAGTGCTGTCATGGAGACTCTCCTCGAAGCTCTCCAAGCTCACAGACACTCTTCCGCGGTGGTTGCGTGACCTCGGTTCCGTCAACCCAGAGAGCCCAATACCCCTTAATTAAGGAATATACCTTAAATCATAATACTAAGGCCCCTAGAACTTACGGTATATTCCTTAATTAAGGGGTATTGGGCTCTCTGGGAAATCAGAGTTGATGAAGCAGCAGGGGTTTTGGCAGCTGAAGATCTCCTACTTGGAGGTTCATGGGTAGTTAAAAGTGGGGTTATAAGTAGGGTAACTGTAATTATAACCCATGTTAGGGGACTTATAACTCCACTTATAACTACCCATGATCCTCCAAGTACAGGGCCCTTGTAGCAGCCATTGATAGGAACCCTTGGATTGGGGCAGGTCCGCTGGCAGAACAGGGTTTCATTCCCCGGTTTGGGTTTAGGGTTTAGGGTTTAGGGTCTTGCTGCGGAGGCTCGACCGATGCAAGGAGCGCAAAAAGGGGTTTGAAGTTGCGGTTCAGGATTTACTGGGTTTGGGTTCAGAATCCAGGGTGCATAGGTGTTTGAGGTTTTAGGAGGAGACGAAGGTTTATAGGATGTACAGGGCTTAAAGGGTTAATAGGGGTGTCTTCGAACGTGCAGCCGGCAGGCAGCGCATCCTGCACAGCAAGCAGGTGAAGGCAGCTGTCCAAATGCCAAGCGCCCAAATGCGCTCGCTGCGTCACGAACTCCTCGCACGGCTCTACTATGAAGCCCCAAATATATAAGTACTAACTGGCACCCTAAACCTTAAACTCTATACCCTAAACCGTAGACCCTGTGCCCTTAACCCAAAACCCGAAGCATAGCTCTATGAACCCCGAAGTAAATACTAACTATTCCCCTCCACCGGTATCAAACCTTTTCCCCTACAGCTACAGGCCCTGAATCTGATACCCTGAGTCCTAAATCCTAAACCCTATAAGCCCTAAACCCTATAAACCCTAAACCCTATAAACCCTATAAACCCTGTACCGTTTACCGTAAACCCTCAAGGCGCTAAGCCCGACACCCTGCAGGCCGTGAATCCGATACCCTGAGCCCGGTAGGAGTTCTCTTAACGTCTGCACTGAGAGGCTTGGAAGGAACTCGAGTTTCAGGAAAAGAGTAAGAACAATAATGAGAATTTTTAGGGTTTAGGGTTACGGTTTCAATAAAAAGGAATAAGAATACGACTAAGAATTTAGGGCTTATAGGGTTTAGGCTTTTGAGGGTTTAGGGGTTTATCGGGTTTCGGGTTTAGGGGTTTAGGGTTTAGGGGTTTACAGGTTTATAGGGTTTAGGGTTTAGTGAACTTCGAATATGACTGGCACCTCAATGCTACATATTGAAATTCGCAAGCATTGCAGCAGCCATCGCAAAGATTCAAGCACGCCCTCAACCCACAATAAACCCAAATCCCCTAAACCACTAGACCCCTAAACCCTAAACCCCCCTATAAACCCCTGCTAAACCCCACAACAAACCCCAAAATGCAGGCCCCTCCTGACTTTGAAGGTAGGCAGCTAACGTATCCATGGTGGTCAGCAGTTCAGAAACCACTGGAGCATCATCTGCAGCTCGGAAGAGAAGCCTCAATAGGTAGTATTATTAGGGGTAACCCTTAAAGGGTACCCCTTCTGAACCCTGCTTTTGGCTCTCTTAAAAGGGACCTTATTGAGAGGGTCTATATCCCCAAGGGTCCCCCTAATCCTAACTCCTACTCCTCAAATCTAAGGTTGAACCCATGGGCCCCTAACATGGGCCCTTAGGGGAATTCTAGGGTCCCTTAAGGGTATCTATAGGGTATATAGTAGGTATTTTAGGATCCCAGGGTTAAGGGCCCATACTAGGGGCCCATGGGTTCTACCGTAGATCAAAACCAAACCTTAAACCCTATCCGAGCCGTTTAGATCTTAAAGGCACCCTCCAAGGAACCCGCCACGCCCTTAACGCAACTACTCCGGCTTCTATACTAGAATTCTGACGCTAAAACCTACATTACCCCTGCCTAGTTTAGGCTTTAGGGCTTAATAAGGGAGATGCAATTATTCGTAAATACACCTCTTACGCCCGATAATCGAACAATAAAACATGTCCCAGCGGAAACACCTAATCCCTAAACCTTAAACCCCTAAACCCAAAACCCTAACAGACCGTAATAAGGAACTACTGTTACTACATGTTATTACACGTACACTGTTCGTAGTATGAACTTTATCACTGTGGTTATTATTATACGTAGTAGTAGTAGTAGTAGTAGTAGTAGTAGTAGTAGTAATAGCAGTAGTAAACCCTGATCCCTAAACCCTAAACCTAGTAGTATGGTGGTTGTTTTTACGACTCTTACTACGAAATTCTGTTGCTACAGATATTTCGGGGTCAATTGCGTGGAAATCCCAGCGGCGACTCCAGCACGCAGGGTTCAAGCAATATAGTATGATGATTAACACTACTATTACGGTTTAGGGTTTAGGTTTTAGGGTTTAGGGTTTAGGGTGTAGGGTTTAGGTAGGGTTTAGGGTTTCTACCCTAAACTGTTACTACTATACTCTTACTGTTACTGCTACTGTTACCATTACAAGCAAAATGGATGTCAGATAGCCACATGGCGTTGGGGCTAAGGCCTAGGGTTCAGGGTTCGGGTTTAGGCTTTGGGGCTTCGATTGTTTTTTCTTTTAGGTTCAGGGTTTAGGGTTAACCCTAAATCCCTAAACCCCCTTAAACCCTAAACCCTGAACCGTTTTTCCCTTTGGGTTCAGGGTTTAGGCCGGTTTAGGGTTTAGAGTACATAATATGAGAGCCAAATGGGAGTATAGGATAATCAAGAGGCTTTGAAGGTGTAGTACTTCGAGGTTCATGGGCAGTGATAAGTGGGGCTAGAAGTAAGGCAACCATAAATATAACCCATATTAGGGGACTTGTAACTCAACTTATGTATAACTACCCATGGGCCTCCATGTATACAGAAGTTACAGCAGAATTGTGCAGGAACTAAACCCTAAACCCCAAACCCAAAACCCTAAACCCAAAACCCTACACCCTAAACCCAAAACCCAAAACCCTAAAGCCTAAACCCTAAACCCCTAAACCCTAAACCCTACGAATCATGCAGGAGCTTGCAGAGCCTTGGAGTTAGGATTTGGGGGGGCTCTGGGGATATAGACCCTCTCAGTAGGGTCCCTTTAAGACTGCCATAAGTAGGGTTAAGAAGGGTTCCTTTTAAGTGTATGCCTAATACTACCTAGGGGAGCCCAGTGTTTTCGGTTAGGGTTCTTGCTTTGAAACCACCAGGAGAGCGCTTGGAGAAGTGTGTCTTTTGGGTTCCATCTAGGCCCTAAACTTAACTTCCCTAAACCCAACATGTCGGAAACACCAGCGACATGGGTGGTTGTCAAAATTAGGGTCCCTTTTTGGGTCCTTGTTATATTACGGCACCTATTATTTATAGGGTACCCCAAAAAGGACCCTAATTTTGACAACCACCCACATGTAACCCTAAACCCTAAACCCGAAACCCTAAACCCTAAACCCCGTGTGAGGCGGGAATCTTTAACTCCAAACCAGCATAAACCCGAAGACCAAGAGCTGAAGCCCTGCAGCCTTATTAGGGTTTAGGGTTTAGCATAACCCTAAACTCCTAAAACCAAAAAACCCAAGCCCGAGGCCCCAAACCTAAACCAAGTCACAGTATTGGCCCTAAGCCCTGACCGCTACCCGCCGACGTGCCCCTAAGCCGTGATCAGTTTGCCCCCTCCGTGGTGTTACCCACAATCCCCAGACGATGCAAACACCAGGACACAACAGACCGGACCTTTTTTGTTTGGAGTTGGCCCTTCTTGAGGGTTCCCGGTCCTAGCAGGTTGCACTTGATTGTATGTCCCTGAAATTTCAGCACTTGAAAGCAGCAACTTGTACTGTACAAGACTGTCAAATTGCCTGTTGTTATTGGGAAAGGAAGGATGGCACATTTCTGTTCTAGAAAGCTTCCCCAAACCTTAAACCCCAATGCCTAAACCATAAACCCTCAACCCTAAACCTTAAACCCGAGTGCCTAAACCATAAACCCTAAACCCTAAACCTTAAACCCTAGTGCCTAAACCCTAAACCCTAAACCCTAAACCCTGAACCCTAAACCTTAAACCCTAGTGCCTAAACCACAAACCCTAAAACCTAAACCTTAAACCCTAGTGCCTAAACCATAAACCCCAAACCCTAAACCGTTAAATCCCAATGCAAGGCAAGCACAAGCTCCTCGTGGGCCATGACGATGCCAGCTTTAGCCTGGCCGCAAGCCATGAGTCCGGCACTCAGGGTTTTGGGTATTGGGTTTAGGGTACTTAGGGTTTTGGGTTTTGGGTTTAGGGTGTTGGCTCTTCACGGTTTTGGGTTTAGGGTTTTCCGTGCATCGGTCAGGGCAGGGATGCCTGAGTCCGCTCTCGGCGAGAGACACAGACTCCTTCTGATTCTATTCCTGCTTTCTTCATGATATACTGGAATCTCAGAGAAATTCCCTGCCCTGAAATCCTTCAAACCTATTGAGGCCAAAAAGCCTGTCACCTAAAACAGCCGAGCAGAAATCTTGAGATCTCTAAGATAGGGTCCCTTTAGGTCCCCAGAATGGTACGGCATTTCTGTGGAATGGACCTTAAAAGGACCCGAATTTGGAGAAGTACCCAGGACCGTATGCCCCCAAGCTGCCGCTGAGGATTCATCGGGAGGATGTCGCGCATGTCATGGTGGAATCGATCCTTCTCCTCGCTCAGTACAGTGGGGTTTCCGTTAAGAGTTACAGGTCCTTTAGGGGTTCTGTATATGGGGTTAAACTTTAAGGGGTTTTTTAGACAGGGTTTATAGGGATCTATAGAGTATATGGGATTCCGAGGGATTTAGGGATATAGGCTTTTGGGTTGAAGGTTTTTCGGATTCTGAGGGTTTGGGGTTGCAGGATATTAGGGCTTAGGGTTCCAAGGGATCCAGGATTTAGGGGGAGACAGAAGTGGTTTGGGACTGGGAGAAATATATGACAGGAGAGTGGGGACATCGTAGTCTAGGGTGCCATACACTCTGAGATTGGCGTGGGTGTGGTGCAGGATAAGATGATAAGACAGCTGCCGGTTTCTACCCATCCAGCCTTTCGTGTTTCTTAGGGTTTCGGGAGGAGGGCTCAAACCGTGAATAGTACCTTACATGCAAGGGCAAGGTTAGCACAACTCGTGAAATCAAGTTCACATTTACAGCTTGCGCCACTTTGGGTTCGGGTTAAAAGAGTACTGTAGGGGCCTAGTTCGCGAGCCTTACAGCACAGTGGACGCCATAGATTGAATACTGCAGACCGAAGAGACTTGGCGCAGTTCAAGCGTGTGAGCCTTATCGTGTTCCCCATAGTATATACTTTGGGCGTAAAGTAGTTATATAGGCACTAGCCCAAGGCCAAAGTATATACCATAAGGGCTTAGGGTTTAGGGTGTAGGCTTCATTTGAGGGTTCCTTATTAAGGGCTTAGGGTTTGGGGTTTCTTTGAGGGCTCCTTTTTGGGTGGACTGGACCCTTATAGGAGTTCAGAGGCCTCCAGTCAACAGATTGACGGTTCGTGGTGCTCGATACTGTACCTACGAATTCACCGAAACTGTACTACCGGGGCCTCAATAATTAGAAGAGGGTTTTGGGGCCCATGATACTATAATTTTAATAAGGAGCCCTCAAACCAGTATTGGTAATTCTTCAGGTTTCTATAGTCAACCCGAACCCAGGTCTACAGTGACACATCTTGAACAAGAAACGGTGTTCTCAAATGGACATAGTAGGGTTTAGGGTTTAGGGTTTAGGGCTTAGGGTTTAGGTTGTGCAGCTTGGACTAGAGGCACTGACAACAGGACCTGAGAAGCGGAACCCTAGACTCCAATCTCAGACGAGTCTCGTGAGCAGAAGAAACATTTGCAGTAATTCGCTTGGTATGAAAATAAACAATACTTGCAGGTTACTGAGACATAGTAAACCCTAAACCTAAACCCTAAACGCAGTTCTCCTAGGATCCGGTCTCGCTCCCTTGCCGTCGGTCTCCGATTCGACCTTTGCTCTGCGGCGACGGGCGCACCTACGACGGACGTCCGAGGGCTTTCGCCGCTCTTAAGGTCATTGTGGGACATAAGCAGAATCTTTTAGGGTTTTAAGGGCTTTAGAGTCTATGAGTTTGCGTTTTAAGGCTTTGGGTTTCAGAATTCGGCAGGATAACCAAGTCTGTCGTTGCAAGCGTATCGCAGCCCTTCTCGGTCAGCCGTATCATGCAAGAATCCATACCCTAACCCTCCAGGTACCTACTATATTGGGCCTTAGGGGCTCTAGTACCCTAAGCCCTAAACCCCTACACCCCTAAACCCCTAAACCCCCTAATTCCAGGGGCTCTAGCACCCTGTACAGTAGGACCCTGGGCCCTAAACCCTAAACCCGAAACCCTAAAGGCTCTATAGAGGGTTTAGGGTTTAGGGTTTAGGGTTTAGGGTTTACGGTTTAGGGTTTAGGGTTAGGTGCCTCGGGGGTTAGGGAGAAGCAGTGCTCGCCTCTCATCTGGTCTCTACTCTTCCGGCTGTGCAAGCCCCAGGCTGACAGTGCACAAAGTCTTAGGGCTTTGGGTTTAGGGTTTAGGGGTTTAGGGTTTAGGGGGGTTTAGGGTTTTTGGGTTTAGGGGTTTAGGGTCTAGGGTTTAGGGTCGAATTGGACACTGTAAGCTTGTACCGCGCGGAGGCAACTATGACATCACGTGAAATAGTACAGCAGGTGGCGCAGCGACATGTGCTCTAATATGAAATCCTGCGAGCTTGGGAGTCATTGAGTAGGGTCGGTGACAGGCAGTTTCTCAAGTGTTGTGTGTCTTAGGGCGTTGGCAGCGTTCGGCCTTCCTCGCCTGTTGCAAGATTCGGGGGTTCAACCTAGACCCCTGCCCTCAAAGACCCTGTGGGTCTTGACTGCAACATCTTAGAACAGATGTACCCTTCTTGCAGTCTGACTGTTTTTGCCAGGGCGCATTGCCACAGGTTCAAGCCTCCAGGGCACGGCCACGAGAAAAAGATCGACAGTATCCTTGAAGGTCTAGTTAGCTAGAGTCTCAAGTTTAGGTTTCAGGCAAGTTCAGCCGAGCAGTCAGCAGCATCCCGGAGATCAAAGCCGCACAGGCTCTCGGTTTAGCCGCAAGCCGTCGGTGTCTCGCCAAGATGGAGCTCTTCTACTTCGTGCTGCCCGCGCCCAACGTAGAGAAAAGCAAGGCCTTCTTCACCAAGGTCTTTGGCTGGAAAGGCTACGGCGGTGGACAGGGTGGACATGTCGACTGCACCAACACTCCCTGTGGTCTCGGCGGTGATGTGAACGAGGTGTATTTCACTACCTTGGATCTCCGCGGGACGCTCGAAAAAGTCGTTGCCCACGGTGGTACCATCGTGAAGGAGACGGAGAACTCTGTCGGCAAGGCTGCGCACTGTCAAGACAACCAGGGAGTTCACCTTTGGTTTCAAGAGCCCAGTGCTGACCCACATATCCGTGAGCATGCGTTGCTGGGTGGCTGTTAAGGAACTTAATTAATATAAGTTACCAAAATGGGGATATATCGCAACAAAACTAGGGTTTCCTTTTTATAGTAGCTAGTTTCAGTTCCGTATCATAGTAACTCAGTTTCAGTTCCTTGACAGCAACCCAGGTTGAACCCCAAGCGTGGCTCCGCAAACAGCGACCTCTTCTTCTTCTCCATCCCGGCCCCCGAGGAGGCTAAGGCTTCCTCGCGGCCTGCCAGCTTGGGAAAGGGTCACAGCGAACTCCTAAGGGTTTAGGGTTTATACGTTCAAGGTTTAGGGTTTAGGGTTTCTAGGTTCAAGGTTTAGGGTTTAAGGTTCAAGGTGTAGGGTTTAAGGTTTAGGGTTTAGGGTTCAAGGTTTAGGGTTTAAGGTTTAGGGAACCTAGCCAGCCATTCTCCCAAGGGGGATCCTAAATGCTCTGAGCATCCCAGCCACAAGCTGTCCAACGCGTCTTTTGGAGTCCCATATGCTCTTTATGGTTTAAGGTTTAGGGTTTAGGGAAGAAGATAGAGTCCGAGGCTCTATCTTCTTCTCAACTACTTTGTCAGAGTCATGGGTACCCTAAGGGTCCATGCATCCATATGAGTATACTTATGACCCTATCAAGTACCCATATAGGGATTACATGAAGGCTTAAGTATATAGTATTTGGGTAGATGGACCCTTAGGGGTAGTTTTAAGTAGGGTTGTTTGAATCTTGATGGGAATTTATGGGCAAACCTGTAGTTACGGTTACAGTATCAGTACTCCCTAACCCCGCAGATACCTACTATATAGGGTACTAGAGCTTCTAGGGCCCTATAGAGTAGGTACCTGGAGGGTTAGGGACTGGTACCACTGGTAGCAAGAGCTGTACTTAAACCCTGCATGCCCGGAGCCCTAACAGCTAAACCGTATACTGCTTACTTCGGGATCTGTGGTAGTCCATACACGGTAAGCTCTAAACCCGAAGCCTTGTAAACCCTCAGCCCTACACCCTAAAACTCTAAACTCCTAAACGCGAAACCCTACACCCCAAAACCTCTAAACTCCGAAACCCGAAGCCCTGAACCCGAAACCCTGAACCCGAGACCCCCTGAGCCATGGCCCCGACCCAGACCCGAAGCCCCGAAAACGATTCAACTAACCCCTGGAGCCCCCCCCCTAAACCCTAAACCCTAAACCCTAAACCTTAAACCGCCTGAACCCGCCAGGCCCTGGACTTCTACACGGGAGTCATGGGCTGGACGTTTGATGAGAAAAAGGCGAAAGGCGGCATGGGCGTCCAGAACCTGGGCTCGAAAGTAGTGTTGGGCATCCTCTTTGGCCAACATATGTTTAGGTTTACGCGTATGACATCTACATATATAACCCAAACAGATGACAATGCATGACGAGATAAAAGCACATATGAACAAACACATTAAATACAGAAGACACACATAAATATGTATAGATATATATGTTCTTATTTATTTTTTGTTATATATATATACACATATATGTATAGATAAGATAAGTACCCATGTTTGCCCTTCTTGTGTACGCTAGGTTTGCTCTTCTGGCGCTTCACATGACGGTTTACCCCCTAAGGCTCAACATGGCCCAAAGCTTCTCATTCAGTTGATGATATAAATCCTGCATTACCTGTAAGGACCCCTAACCCTCCAGGTACCTACTATATAGGGCCCTAGGGGCTCTAGTACCCTATATAGTAGGTAGCTGCGGGGTTAGGGGACCCTAAACTATGGGAAATTATGCTATATTCCGTATTTTGGGTAGAGCAGGATTTATATCATCAGCCGTAGTAGGGTCTTTGAGCCCAGAAGTCTTAAAGTCTGAGTCCTTAGAGCCTTAGGGCTCGAGATTCTGGATCCAAGGAACACCGTAGGCCCCAGTGGTGGGCTGTCTGTGGGCAACGCGAAATCTCAGTATCCCAGCCTCTGGTCAGGGCCTTAATGATTAGAACAGGGTCTTCGGGGTATATGGATACCAAGTTACTATACTATTAATGTTGATAGGAAGTTTGATCTGTTGGTCTTCGATTTCGCAAGCTAAAGATTCAGTACGGTTCATTAATGTGTTTGGGGTTTTGGTGTGGACGGTTCCACGAGTAGGGGTTTCTGCATTGGGCTGCCCAGGTTCCGCGTGGATTCCGCCGAGGAAACCGTCCGCCTGGTGAAAGAAGCAGGCGGTAAAGGGGAGATATTTGAGGCGCCCGAGGGCATCATGAGCCAATGTGAGGATGACCAAGGCGTTGAGTTCGGAATTGTGCAGCCAGCGCCCGGCTACTGAGCACCGGCAGCGCTAATTTTTTGCAGCTGCGCAGCACTGCATTTATCTGAGGTTAGGGAGTTGTGGGGCTGGAGGTCCGTCGTATTATAATGCAAGCGAGAGGCTGAAAGTAGGCTCAAGAGGGGACGGACCTCAGCCATCGTTTAACATCGGTTTTCGAAGAGACCGAAAAGGCCGCCTGCCAAATCCTCTGAATGCAGCGGAAAGCCAAACGAAGGCACTGCAAGTCTGTCAGGGTGGGAGGGCTTCTCAGACAGCACTACTTAAAGGATCATGGGACTTAGTAACTAAGGTGATTATTAGGGTAACTATACTTATAAGTACTTGTAACCCCAATTAAGGTACTTAAAACCATACTTACTAAGTCCCATGATCCTCCAAGTACGTCTCCACTGACTAAGAACTGAGGCATCTGCAGAGGTTTGGAAGGTTCTTTATATTCGGCAAAAGCAGGCTACGTCCCGACAGAAACAGAATCCGGTACCCCGTACCGAAGGGAAGACAGCTCAACAAATCAGCGTCTTCTTGTTAGGGCCTATAGGGAATATTCCTCAATTGAGGGCCCTGAACCCTAAATGAACCCTAAACTTTGCAGGACATTGCGACAGACGTGCTGAAAGCTGCACATCTCCCTTGGGATCGCCCACAGGAGACGCTGGTCGTCTGAGCAGCGGCCAAGTCGTGCTTAGGGTCCAATTTAGAGTTTAGGGGTCTTCGCTTGATCCACGCAGTTCCAGTCAACTTTACTTTGGTACGGCTTCACGATATCCGAGTGTAGGAATGGTAATTGCCTCTTTCCCGGCCTAAAGCCTTCAAAGAGTATGTGTGTCGTGGCGGAGCTCCAGCTTAGATAGAAAAATGCTGCTCATACTTGAAAAAGACTATCCACGCCGCTCCCCAAGCCCTGGACCCCCTGCGTGCACTGAAGGCAGTGTTAGCGGTGGCCAGAAACCCAAATTTTCAGAAGCGTTCCGTGCAAAAGGACGTGCTTGCCTGCATACTGCTCTTGCCCAGACCCTCCAATAGCCCGTAATTGAGGAACATACCTGTAATTTAGAATAATAGGATCCCTAAAATGTATATTCCTTAATTGAGGAGCATACCTTGGATTGTAAGAGGATCCCTAAAATGAGTCAAGATATCTTCCTTACCTCGACCCCAAAATTATGTAGAAGCATAGCCCTTTATAGGTTTTGGGCAATTACTTTACCTACTTTAGGGGTCAAGGTAGTTATCAGGGATATTAGAAGGTCTGGGTGCTTCACCCTAAACCCTAAACCCTCAACCCTAAACCCTAAACCCTAAACCCTAAACCCGTTCCCCATCAGCATCTTTGACAGACCCCCAAGCCCAGGGGCCTGGAAGCCCCGTGCCCCAAAAGCCCTGTAGAATTTCCAGAGCTCGGTTCAGGGTCTAGGGTTTAGAGTTTAGGGTTTAAGGCTTTGGGTTTAGAGTTAGGGTTTTCTAGGGTTTAAGGGCTTAAGGTTTGGAGTTAGGGTTCAGGGTTTAGGGTTGATCTTGAGTCTTGAGCTTTCCAGCAACTACAGATGCGTGACTAGAGCCTGCGGACAAACTTCCTTACTCCGTGCGGCTTGAAGATTCCGAAGCCCCAAACCCTGAACCCTAAACCCCAAGCCCTAAACCCCGAACCCTAGACCTTAAACCCTAAGCCCTCAACCCTGAACCCTAAACCTTAATCCCTAAGCCCTAAACCCTGAAATCTGAACTGAGACCCGAGCGCCGTATCCACCAGGAAGCCTAAAACCCAGAGCCCTAGAACCCTGAGACCCTAAGTGCAAGCCCGACATCCCCACAGGACCCTAGGATTACGGTTGCTGCTACTACTGCTATGACTCCTACTACTACTACTACTACTACTACTACTACTACTATACTGCTACTACTGCTACTACTACGACTACTACTACTACTACTACTACTACTACTACTACTACTACTTCTAGTACTACTACCACTACCACTGCTACTACTACTACTACTACTACTACTACTA